CCCCAAAACCCCAAAACCCCTTATTAAATATCTCAAAATTAAAATTGATAAATGTAGTTTTAAATAAAAGTTAATAATTAAGGTATAGAAGTGAAAAGTTTGTAAAACAATGGGTAATACTTGGAAAGGTATTTCTGAAGTTAAATTCAAGGAATATGAAAAGAAAATGCTTTTGCATTCTGGAGTGCCAATATAGGATATAGAGGTATTCAATGTATTGATTGACAATCAGAGAAATTATATCAGAACTGTAAGAGTTAAATCAAACTAAAACCCGGTCATGATCTTAATTCATGGGTATGGCGGGTCATCAATAGTCTTCTGGAAAATCATCAAGCCGTTGCAAGATAAATACAATTTGTTTTTAGTAGATGTTCTAGGAATGGGTGGAAGTAGCTGACCAAAATTTGCTATTGAAAATTGTGAGGAGACTGATGACTATTTAACTTTATGGCTTGAATAATGGAGGGAGGCACTAAACTTATAATCTTTTATTTTGGTTGGGCATTCATTTGGAGGTTATATCAGTGGTCTTTATGCAGCAAAATATTCTTAAAGAGTTAGAAAACTAATTTTGCTCTCGCCTATTGGATTTTCTAAAAATTAAAAAAATCAGGATGTATTGAGAGAAATAGAAAATCCTTCTCTAAATTAGAAGATGCCTACTTCATAGGAATAACAAATATTTTCAAAATTTGAATTGTTATTATGGAAAAAATGATTGACTCCATTTGATCTAATTAGAAAATGTGGAAGAGGAATGTTTAAGTGTTTTATGAAGAATTATCTAAAATAGAAGCTATATACAATATCAGAAAATGAGTTTAGAGATTTTTAGATTTATATATAATAAGTGATAATGAGAAAAGGGTCATCTGAATACTGCATATTTAGATGCTTTAATCATGAGTTATTCCCTTTTCACCCTTTAAATTCTGATGATAGATTGGGAAAAATAAAGATTCCAGTAAGTATATATTATGGTGATAGAGATTGGTTAAGTTAAGATGGAGCTGAAGATATTATTAATCGAAACCCTTTTAAAGGGACTCATAGTCATATTTTTATAATACCAGAGAGTAATCATCAAATGTTTTTTGATAATCCTGAGGAATTGGTGAAAATAATGATATAAGATTTAAGCAATCTAGACAATTTAGATGTCTCTGAAAATGGTAAAGAGGGTTTCCACCCTAGATAACTTAATTCAGAGTACCGATAATAAGAGTAGGAATGTTAAATAAGTCATTCTCCAAGAGAATTATGTTTTATTGGTAAGTGAAATGATGGAGTATGAATTAAAGTAGCATTTTGATTATTACAAAAATTATAAATATATTTTAATGCAATTCAATTTTATTGAATCTTGTGGGGTTTTGGGGTTTTGGGG